GAACACCCAAACAACATGAGGCTTTTAAATGGTAGGTGGAGCTCCCTGTTGGGGCATTTTCTCTAGTAACCTGTCTCCTTTCCCCCACAATCAGGTGAGAATGAAATCCTTGCAACTCTGCATGCCATCGCAAGCAAAAACCAAATCTGGAGATCGTATATTGGCATGGGCTATTATAACTGCTCAGTGCCCCAGACCATTTTGCGGAACTTACTGGAGAATTCTGGATGGTAATGTATCGCCTCATTAGAGAACAGGACTACTAGACTTGTGGTCCTTGTATCTCAGAAATCACACACTGATACCTGCCCCCTGCTGCTCTCTAAGCTCCCAGAGAACCCACTTGGCTTCTCTGGCTGGGAAATTCTTTACAGGGTGTTGTAATAGATTCTCATCCCTTTCATTTCCAAAAGTCCAGGTCTGATGATCTCTTCCTGATTCTCTATACTGCTTTTGGGCAAGGCATCATTCCTCTTTGGTGAGATCCTGGGGCATTTTAGACGGTGTCTGAATTTAGTCACTCAGTATTACAGCCTGGGAAAGAATCTTGGGCTTTTGTCTTTGGCCAGGATTTTCAAAGGACCATACTCATGTTCCCCTTCTCCCCACATTTCTTGGTCCATGACCAATAGAAATGAAGTGACCTAGTGTCAGAAGAACGGAGACAGTAACATCAGCTTTATTGGCACCACTTATGGAGAACGGGAACGGATGTCTGTGGACAGGTCTGCGCTTGCGCGGCCCGCTTCTTCTTCTCATCTCACCTTGCCAATCAGATAATTTGCTCTTGCCCCGGGGGTTATGTATGTCAGAAGACCTTCAGGAGTCAGCTCTCTTCCACCACGGGGTCTGGGGATGGAACTGATGTGGCCAAGTCTGTCTGGCCATCCTGCTGCTTTTGTCCCATCTTTACAGGAACCAGGTCTGCTGGCACCCTCTTGCCTGCACTCCACCCCTGTGTGGAGATTTTCACGGCAAAATACTCTACTTCCTTACTAATAAGAGCACAGGAAAGCAGGCCCATCCAGAGAGCGAGCGTTGCAGTTTTTCAGCGCACGAATGTGCTTTGCTGTGTGTTTGCATTGCCGAGGGCTTGTTTTTCACTGTGGCTCAAGTTTACATGGTAAACTCGAAGGGTGATTTCAAAAGCAAATAGCCTTTCCCTCTTCCCCCTTAGAAATCAAAGTCTGCTGCTGCCTGTGAATGGACCGCAGCATTCTCTGCCTGAGCTCTGGCCTGTGGCCTTTGCTTTTAGTGACCATACAGAATATCTGCCATATTTCTCTCTGGCTGTGAGCTAGTATGCTAATTAATTTGGGGGTAGCCAGTGTTTTGAGAGGGAGACAACACTCTGTTTTTCCGTCTCTGGCTTTGGGTGCATTTTAAATATTGCTGCTTTGCATTACCCAAAAGCTGGTCTGCACCCTAGAGGGCTACTGAACCCTGCCATGCTGATAGGGAGGGCTGTGAGCACGTGGGTGGTAGACTTCACATTATACTTCTGAATGGTTTCCATAGCGATGGAACCAACAAATTCCGGTGACGTGAGGTGAAAATAAATGGGTCACATAGACTCGAAAGAATACGAACATTTGGGCTCTTAAAAGAAACTGTACGCTGGATCTAGAATTTTTTTCATGTGGTCCACAATCCCAAAGTATCAGTTGCTGATAACATCATTAACAAATACCAACATTTGCCTTTTCCCTGTGGCTTTCTGGTTTTTATGATCTTGGCAGTAAGATTAAAACAAGCCTTTTATGAGTTTTATGAGTCCTTCTGAAAGCCCCCTACTTTTTCCCAATTCTGAAAGAAAGACAACCAAAATGATAGAAAATTGATTATTTTGGAATAAATGCCAATATATATCATGTTGAATATATTACCAAATAACCTATTTCAGAACTATAAGCCTTCTTAGATATGGAGATACTTTTAAAATACATATATTAAAATGCATCTAGAAAAAGAAACTATTTGAATTAATGTCAATTAAGACATACTCATGGATCACAGACATCATTTTTTCCCTTTTTAATTCTTCCAGGTACCTGAGATTGAACACATGTCACTGTTAGGGACCACTGAGCAACCTCTGCAGTTCTTCAGACAATTGTTTTTAAGCACATTTTTCCCTGTGTGTTTGATAGCAACACTTGGGTGACATCTTTTAAAATCTTTTTTAATATGTAAAAAAAAAAATTTTTATTTCAGTTGTGTATGGGTGCTTGCCTGAATGTGCCTCTCTGCTCCACATGCATGTGTGGCTGGGGTCCACAGAAGAGAGCATCAGGTCCTTCTGGAACTGGAGTTACAAATGTTTGTGAGATACCATATGGGTGTTGGGACTTAAACCCTGGTCCTCTGGAAGAGTAGCCAGTGAATACTCCTAACTGCTGAACTGTCTGTCTCTCCAGGCACCCTTTGATAGCTTTTTGTTTTGTTTTGTTTCTTGCTTCTTTTGAGACAGGGTCTCACTATAACCCTGACCATCCTGAAGTTTGCTTTGTAGACCAGACTGGCCTGGAGCTCTCAGAGATCCACCTACCTGTGCCTCCCAAGTGTTGGGAGTGCCACCATGGCTGGCTTGGTAGCATTTTCTAACCATGAAATGTGGGTTATTCTTTACTTCCCTTCACATTGCCATTGCTAAGAAGAGCATTTATGCCTGTTATATTTCCTCAGCGTAAAAAAAAAAAAAATCCCGTAACTATTTTAAAAGTTCGAAGTAAAAGAGTAGTGGCAGCAGTAGTGCTTACATTAACTCAACCTCGGATTATAAAAAGGGTTAACAGGAAGGCTGGTCATGAAAACGGAAATTACTAAAGCCCACTGGCAGAGATCATGGGGTCCTTGCAATCTGAGATATGAACAACTGTGGCTTTTTCCTGTGGGTAGCGGGAAGCCATCAGAGATACTTGGGTTTTGTTTGTTTTATTCACTCTGTGCATGTGTGTTTGGATCATGAATGTGCTTTGGTGCAAATGTGGAGCTCAGAGGACAGCCATGTTGGTTCTGGGGACCCAACTTAGGTCTTTAGGCTTCACGGCGAGTGTCTCTACCCGGTGAGCCATCTTGTCAGCCTTGCCGTAGATTTGAATGGGGAGTCAAAAGATGTACATTTGCACCTCAAATGTTTCATAGTTAAACATTGGCAGATTAATAAGGCAGTGACGAAGGGCTGGACAGGTGCAGAAGCCACTGGAAGATTGATGGTCCTTATTTGGATCTAAATGATTTTATGTGATTTCATTTTAGGCTTTTTTGAAACAGGGTCTCAGGCCGTCCAGGCTAACCTCAAACTCACTGTGTAGAGGAGAGGGACTTTGAGCTTTTGTCCTCCTCCTCCCCAAGCCCCAGCTGGGGTTAAAGGCATGCACCACCATACCTGATCCTTTTTTCTTTTGAAGTTAATGTGACATTTAAGGTTCTACTGTCTTCATTTTGTGTGTATGTGTGGCTAGTGTATGCGTGTACCACACGGAGACCAAAGGCTGTGAGATCCTCTGGACTGGCAGTTACAAATGGTCATCTCATGTCCTGCTTCCTTTAGATTTTTTTTAAGTCCCAAACACACTCTCTGTCTGTCTGTCTGTCTCCCACTCTGTTTCTGTGTGTGTGTGTGTGTGTGTGTGTGTGTGTGTGTGTGTGTGTGTTTGTGTGTGTGTGTGTGAAGAGGGTTTCATTTTTTCTTTCCTTTTCCTTCCTTCCTTCCTTCCTTCCTTCCTTCCTTCCTTCCTTCCTTCCTTCCTTCCTTCCTTCCTCTCTCTCTTTTGAGATGGGGTTCTTGCCGTCTAGTCGAGGTAGCCTCTAATTTTTAATCCTCCTGCCTCAGCCTCCCAAGTGTTGTGATTACAGCATGTGCCGTCACACCTGGTCTTTCTGGCATCTCATTCTTTAGCCCTAGCTGGCCTGGAACTTTCTATGGAAGTGGCAGCTGCTGCCCCCTGCTGTTCAAGAACAGCAGCTGTAAGGAGGACTGCACATGCTTCTAAATTAAAAACATTTGGGGCCGGGCGGTGGTGGCGCACGCCTTTAATCCCAGCACTCGGGAGGCAGAGCCAGGCGGATCTCTGTGAGTTCAAGGCCAGCCTGGGCTACCAAGTGAGTTCCAGAAAAGGCGCAAAGCTACACAGAGAAAATCTGCCTCGAAAAACCAAAAAAAAACCCAACCAAACAAAAAAACATTTTGGTAGCTGTTTTTTTTTTTTTTAACTTAAAAGTTTGCATGTGTTTATGCTTGTTTGTGTACCTCATATAACCTGCCACTAATCTTGACAGTGTGTCCCCCTTGACAAGGTATCCCCCATCCCCCTCATACATCTGTTCTAGATAACAACTGTCTTGCCTCTTTAAAAAGAATTAGGCTGGGCAGTGGTGGTACACACCTTTAATCCCAGCACTCGGGAGGTGGAGGCAGGCTGATCTCTGTGAGTCCAAGGCCAACCTGGTCTACAGAATGAGTTTCAGGACAGCCAGGGCTACACAGAGAAACCCTGTCTCAGAAAAAGAAAAAAAAAAATGGGTGCAGCTGGGTGTGGTGGAACATGCCTTTAATCTTAGCTCTTTGAATTTAATCTCTGAGTTGGAAGCCAGCCTAGTCCACAATAGACAGCTCAGGGCCAGCCAGAACTACACAGTGAGACCCTTTCTAAAAACAAAAGAAAACCCAAACAGAAAGACATTGTCCATGGAATGTTAACTGAAGAAAAAAATAAGACCTCACATAGACTGTAATTCTGCTTCTTACAAGTGTAAATATTATGTGGAAAAGAAACTTCAAACAACACCTAATGCTGACTGAGTTATCTTGAAGTCTGGGGATTTGGGGCGCTTTTGCTTTTCCAACCCATTATAATGAACATGCTTAACACGCTCACACAAAAAAAGGTAATACAGAATTCCTACACAGAGAAGTTGGTTAATAAATCATAGCCCTTGTCTCTGACATTTGGGGTATGCAATAATAAATTAAATATCGGTTTTAGTATCACCACACAGCCCTCACCTCTGCAGCACAGATACTAACACTGGAATTACAGAGAAGACTTGCATGTCGCCTGTGCAAAGACGACACACAAATTGGGAAGCGTCTCATATTTTTAAATGACATGGGCTTTGGGCTTTTTGGCTAAACCACTTTTGTTAACGTTCAATACAAAGCTCAATGGCTCTTGGTCTGATAGGTTGGGGAAAGAAAAAGATTCCCGAGGAAAATCACTGTTTACATTTTGGTTCATTTGCTTGCTTTTATAAGCGTATAAGGATGAGGTATTTTATACTTCGCTTTTTAGGGTCTTTTATTCCTGTTGTTTGTTTGAGTTAATGCTCTCCCTCTTAAAATTAATATTTTATGAGCATCGTCTCAATGTTAGGAACGTTTATAGCATCGTTTTCAATGACTGCTAGCAATATGTACATGGGGTGGAATTCGCCTCACCCGCAATTCCCCTTTTAACAGTCACACCGTTTGTTACTCATTTTTTCCTACAGTATTTATTCCATGCTGAATTCTTTGGGAATACTTCTCTCTCCTAGTATATTCTATTCCTGAGAATATACTCAGTCTTTCCTGTTCATCAGTTGGGGTAGCTGGTACATGCATACATTCCTCTGGGGGTGTGCATATGTCTGACGACCTGTCTACATCTCAAATGATGGCTCTGAACACAATGAAAGTGTCCTGTTGGGCAGTCAGTCTAAGCATATGGCGGGAACAGTGTCACATCTGTCTTCCTAATATCGAGCTGTGTGTGCTGGTCTTGTCTGGTCGGACATCACCAGTGCCCATTGTCTATGCTTTTGTGTGACCTTGTTTCTCTCGCTCCCTTTCAATGGCTTGCCCTGTGTGTTCATTGTATGAGTCATCCATTCCAGTTCACCAGTCATGTAGAATTTGCCTTTACAATGGTGAATCCAGGCTGTTCAGGGAATTAACAATGTGTTCTGCTGTACACACACACACACACACACACACACACACACACACACTCAGTTACACCAGTGAAAGATGGAGAAAATTATTTCAAAGTGCTGATACAATACTGTGGCCTAAGACTGTCTTCAAACATAAACCATGTTAAATAAAGCCAACGTAACAATGCTTTCAAAGCCTGTGTGTAATTACCAGAACAGGAGGAAAAAAAAGGATATAAAAATCAAAGCCATTAATAAATCACTTAAAACTCTTTGGCTTGGTGTCTTAGTTAATTTTTTTTTATTGCTGTGATAAGACACCATGACCAGGGCGACTTAGAGAAGAGTTTATGTGGGGTCTTACAGTTCAGAGGGAGCATAGCAGGCAGGCATGGATTTTAGAGCCTGCTTATAATAAAACACATGGATGCCCCGAGGAAAAGGCTCCGTCAAGTGTTTGCTGAGGACCTGAGTTCAGGTCCTTGGCACCCATGTAAAAGCTGAGGGCCACTGCACTTATCTGCAATTCCTGTGCTGAGGAAGAGGAGGTAGATGGATCCCTGGAGCTCATGGGTCTGAGCTGGCTTGATGGACTCCAGTTTCAGTGAGAGTTCATGTCTCAAAAAATAAGCAGGAGAGAAACTGAGGAAGACACCCAGCATTGACCCCTGCCCCCCACATTCACATACAGCACATATATAAAATACATGTGCATGTTAAATAATTATAATTAGAAAATAAAGATAATTAAAATAGTAATGTAACAAAAAAAATGTAGAAAGCTGGGCATGGTGGTCTATGCCTATAATCCTAGAACTTGAGAGGCTGAGGAAGGAGAACCAGGGCCAACCTGATCTACCGAGTGAGTGACAGGTAGCCTGAGCTACATAGCAAGATTATGTGTTTAAAAATAATAACAAAATGTCAAGGGACTGAAGAGGTGGCTCCGTGGTTAAGAGCACTGTTGCTCTTGCAGAGGAACCAGATTTTGTTACCAGTACCTACATAGCGGCTCACAATTATCTGTAACTCCAGTTCCAAGGGATTTGATAACCTCTTCTGACCTCCATGGGCACTCATGTAGTACACACACACACACGCAGGCAAAGCATTCAGACATGTAAAATGAAGTAGGTAAATAAAAAAAGTGCAGAGGGAAAAAATGTACTGGTTGTGCCCAAAGAATATTGTTTCTATGACAGTTCTGTTCTTCCCCATAAAAACCCAAAGAAAACATGTCATTAATTTGGCTTTTTATTGCTGTGACCTGTAGTGCAAATTTTAATTGGTCTTAATAATAAAAACATAGTCAGATATAGGGGTAAATGCTGAAAGATCAGAGAGACAAAGGAGCAAGCCACAGCCATGTCTTACCTTACCTCCCCAACTCCTCAGCCTGAAAGGGGGGGGGGGGAGTGAGTTCCTGTCTCCTCCCACCTTATATTCCTCTCTTTGCCCAGCCATATCACTTCCTGTCTCCACCTCCCTAGTGCTGGGATTAAAGGTATGAGATGCTGGGATTAAAAGTGTGTGCCACCACTGCCTGGCCTCTATGGTTAAGTAGTGGCTAGCTCCACACTCTGATCTCCAGGCAAGCTTTATTTGTTAGAACACAAAATATCACCACAGTGACCAAATACTCAGCATAAGTAATTTAGGGGTGAATGGTTTATTTTGGCTCAGGGATTATTTGTGTATTCAGTGTGCTGGGAGGCGGGGGCTGTGCTCCCTGGAGACCTGTGTCAGAGCATGCACATGGAGATAGGAGGACTGCTTGCCAAGTCAGTTAACTCCTACCATTTGGGTCTCAAGGATTGAACTCGGGTTGTCAGGTTTAGTGGCAAACACTTTGCCTGCTGAGCTATTAACTTGGTTCGTCACAGAAGTCAGTCTGTCATCAGTGAGGGAACAGAGAAGTTTGTGTCCTGGCAGCTAGGAACCCACCCGCCTTCTTTTTCAATCCAATAAGCTTCCAACCTATTGGATGGTGCTGTCCACATCCCGGGTGAGACTTTGCCCACATTCTGGCTGGGTCTTCTACCTCAGTGTATCCTTCCTGGAAACTTCCATACAGACACACTCAGATGTGTACGTCATCGATTTTCTAAGCGATTTTAAGTCTAATCCAATTGATTGTCCCAATCTTGCTGATCAATGTGTTATGTAATTCTCAAGAGATTTCGGCGTTGAATTTGAAAACAAAGGAGCTTTCATTTCGTGAGCTTTTCTGGATAGGAGAGGCACAGTTTGGACGCGGTCTTCTGTTTTCCTCTCAGGGTCACCCAGTACACTCCGTATCAGCCAGAGGTGTCTCAGGGGAGGTTGGAGAGTTTACTCAACTACCAGACCATGGTGTCTGACATCACAGGTTTGGACATGGCCAACGCCTCGCTGCTGGATGAGGCAACCGCGGCTGCAGAGGCGATGCAACTGTGCCACAGGTGAGAGGCTCAGCGGGAGAGCCCCTCCAGGAGAGGGGTAACCCCTAGTCCCCAGCATCTTAAACTGTGGTTTCCAACCTCAGGTGGGGTTTCATAGATGAATGTAGAGTTTGTCAAAAAAAAAAAAAAACAAACCCAAATTGACAACAATAAAAAGTTTTTTTTTTTTTTCTGAATGTGGGGCAACCCAAAATTAATTTAAAACACAACACTAATGAGTCTGAGGTATTTCTGGCAGAACTTGCATCATCTGACTTCATTGCAGCCTTGGTCCTCAATACACAGGACACATGTACACTTTGCACCTCACGTGCCTTCAAGTCACACACCAACAAATGCTACCTGAAACATCTCGGCTCAGATTCAAGATTATTGCATGATATGAATTATAGGAGTGGGGGTTTTGTTTTTGGTTTTGTCTGATTTTTGGTTTTGGTCATGCCTCTGGCACCCCAGGCTGGCTGTATAGCTGAGGATGACCTTGAACTCCTGATTCCCCTCCCTTCATCTTCTGAGTCCCAAGTTTAGGATTATGGGTAGGAGCCACCATGTCCAGCTGGACTATGGGTCCTTTTAACCGTACATCAGAAGTCTTCTGCTCTCATAGAAACATGACAGTTTCATTACAAAAGACAAAGTCTTAATACTTTCCTGCCATAATTTCTCACCATGTAATGGCAAATTAGCATATCTTTGGGTTACACTATGTTAGAATGCTTGGTTTCAGAAATTTGCTGTTTCATTTGCTGATGAATTTCATAAAGACATTAGATGGATGTTGGCTTGGGGTAAAGACAGAATTTGAAACAATTTCTAAGCGGCTCTAGAGGTGCTTCCGCCATATTGTGCTATATGTCAAGAGGTATCTTAGTATTGACAATCATAAAGTCAAAATGGCCATCAACTTGAGGAACACTGAAGATACTCTACATTTTCTGTGATCAAACATTCAACTAAGATTTAATTCTATAAGTAAAAATAAGCACATCTACCTCATTAATATGCAGATTTGCTTTAGCAGCTGGGCCAAGCATCCCAACAGAAATAATTAGATACATTTGCTTTTATCAGTTGACATCTATATCTATCTATCTATCTATCTATCTATCTATCTATCTATCTATCTATCTCCATCCATCCATCCATCCATCCATCCATCCACCTACCTACCTACCTACCTTTCTATCTAGGTATTAGGGTTGTTTCAAAATAAATTTCTTTATGCTTATTTGTCACCAAATGTTTGATTGGGATGTATATTTTCTATACCTATACACCTTCTCTCATGGAAAGATTTATCTGACAAAAATGAGTCATGAGTTGAAAAGTCTTAAGAATAAGAAGCCCTGGTTGCAGGGGCTTACCAATTCTCTCTTTCTCTCCTTCTTTCTCTCCCTCTCTTTTACACACATATATACGTGCATGGGCACTTGTGTGCACACACACACACACACACACACACACACACACACACACACACATATATATATATATATATATATACATGAAAGATAATATTATCAGTTAATAAAAGAAGTGTTACAATAGGTTTTTTCCCCCCAAGCTTCTAATTGCTTGACAGAAAAACATTGTTTTTCTTACATAAGTCCGAAGGTGACTTATTGATCAACCCTGAGGTGTTATCACGGACAGGTGTCCCTGTCTGCCTGCCATCTTTAGCATAACATTTCAACAGTAGGTAACTGTTAGACCTCTAGCCATGACGTCGAGATCTGCCGTCAGGAAG